ATGGTATTCATATTACTCCCTCTATCCCATAATGTTTGTCCACCATAAATTTGTAAAAACTTTAAAGAACTTATACTTTAATATTTTCATTCAAAAACTCATAGGTTAAGTTCAATTTTATCCTCGCATAAGTTGCATTTCTCGTATACTATTTGGCATTTTGCGTCAATTGCTTCATGTACAAATTTCATTAAGTTTCAAAATTTTAAATGCAAGTCCTTTGCTTTTGTCTCATTCTCTAAACCTTAGTTGTTGTCCTACTTATGGATTCTTTATTGTTTTATTACATGTTGTGTAGCGATGTTGATTAACAATAAATAAAAGAGTGAGGATAAATTTGAAAATTTAAGTATATTTGTTGTTTATTTTTTATAATGGATAAATAAATTAAGATTTCTCCAAAAAGAAATATAAACAAAGAAAATGAAAATACTTTATTTTCTGTCTTACTCATTTCACTTTCTGTCTTCCATTTGTTCTTTCCTATGAATCATGTGTTACTTTGAGAATGAAAAATACTTTGTGCCATTTGTGTGACAGGTCTCATTTACTTTTCATTTATTCTCATCCCTCTTTCTTGCTCGAAGTGAAAAAGTCTTAGATTTGGAAAGCAATTTTGTGTATTTTTTGAAAACAAATTTTCATAATTTTAGGTGATGATAAATGGTGACTAAGCTTTGATAACTTGCCATGTTGCTGGCTAAGTTTATATTGTATCAAAACTCATATGGATTCTTGGTCCACTAAAGAATAATGAAGTCATGAATAGGAACCACCATATGAGACAGAGAGGATTTGCTACAAGTTATGTTTTTGTGGTTACTATCAACTATATTTTCTTACTTCTAATTTTCTTCTAGGCTTTTAGGCTTTTACTGGGTTTAAATTCTGATAAACTTGTCGAGCATAAATCTTGCTTCTTTAATATACATCAAGCTTTTTTTTTTATTATTTTTTTGCCACTATATCAAGGTTTTCTATGTTGGGATAGGTTCACATGTGAGTAAACAATCTCACATTACTAAGAAATATGAGTGAGAAGTCCTATATATACATATAGGATCCAATAACCCAATAGCTTAGGTTTTTTAACTCAAGTGATATCTAATATGTATGTATAAGCTTTCTGGTGTCCTTCGATAGAATTTATGTGTATATAACCTATGATGGAGTGTAAGGTTAAGGCTATGATTGATTGTAAGCTTGAGGGAGCACTAAGACAACTTAGGTGACAAGGTTGTAGATTGTGATTGAGTACAACTTTGAGGGGCACTGAGATAGCTTAGACTCATAGAGAGGTAGGTTGAATGCTAGGCTTAAAGTGCACTGAGATCATCTAAAAAGTGAAGTTGCTTAGCTTAAAAGAGGTATTGATAAGACTTATTGCATGAGGAGCCAAGATGGGATTTGATTAAAACACATAAGTGAACAAAAAAATTTATTGGTTAGGTTCACATGTGAATAAAGAATCTCAAATCACTAATAAATGTGAGTGTAAAGTTTTATATATACATGTAAGACCCAAGAATCCAATAGCTTAAGTTTTTAGGCTTAAGTGGTGTTTAATATGTATGTATGGTCTTTCTGGTGTGCTTCTATAGGCTCCAAGTGTGGTGTATCTACATAATAATAGGTATCAGATTTTGCTTCGAAACTAGTTTAGAGTAGGCAGCAAAACTTAATGCCAAGTTATATTAAAGCCAAAAGTTTTACTTGGAGGCAACAAGTATGATAATATGCTTATGCAAATGTAAAACACTAAAAAAGGTAATATACTAAGGTAACCTGTGATTGCAAGGATAAGGCTGTGATTGATTACAAGCTTGATTGGGCACTTAGCAACCTAGGCAGCAAGGTTGTATGTTGTGATTGAGTACAAGCTTGAGAGTCATTGAGACAACCTAAACCCACAAAGAGGCAATATTGAATTAAGGCAATATACTGAGGTAACCTAGGATTACAAGGTTAAGGTTGTGATTGATTGCAAGCTTGAGTGGGCACTGAGACAACCTAGGTAGTAAGGTTGTATGCTGTGATTGAGTACAAGCTTGAGGGGCATTAAGACTACCTAAACCCAAGAGAGGCATGGTTGAATGTTAGGCCTAAGATGCATTGATACCACCTAAGATGTAATTTTTTTTTGCTTCAAAGAAGTGTTGATAAGATTTATTTGCATAGGAGAGCCAAGGTAAGACTTGATCAAAACTCACAAGTGAATGGAGAAGATAGTTGGGATAGGTTCACATATGAGTAAATAATCTCACATCACTAAAAAATATGAGTGAGAAGTCCTATATATACATGTAAGACACAAGAATCTAATAACTTAAGCTTTTGGGTTCAAGTGGTGTCTAACATATATGTATAAGCTATCAGGTGTACTCTCATGGGCTCTAAGTATGGCGTATCTCCCCAACAACAAGTATCAAAGCTTGATTTGGGGCTAGTTTAAAGTAGGCAGCGAAACTTGATATCAAGTGGTATCAAAGACAAAGATTCAACTTAGAGGCAACGAGTATGATAATATGCTTATGCAAAAGTAGAACATCGAAGAAGGTAATGTACTAAGGCAACCTATGATGAAGTACAAGGACTTGTGATGAAGTGCAAGGTTAAAGTTATGATTGATTGCAAGCTTAAGTAGGCACTGAGACAACCTAGGCATTAAGATTGTATGCTATAATTAAGTATAAGTTTGAGGGGTATTGAAACAACCTAGACTGACAGAAAAGCAAGGTTGAATGCAGCGAGTATGATAATAGGCTTATACGAAAGAAGAACACCGAAGAAGGCAATATACTAAGGCAACCTATGATGAGTGCAAAAACTTATGATAAAGTGCAAGGTTAAGGTTATGATTGATTGCAAGCTTGAGTAGACACTAAGATAACCTAGGCGTTAAGATTGTGTGCTATAATTGAGTACAAGTTTGAAGGGTATTAAGACAATCTAAACCGATAGAGAGGCAATGTTGAATGCTAGGCCAAAAGTGCACTAAATCCATCAAAGAAACTGATAGAGAGGCAACGTTGAATGCTAGGCCAAAAGTGCACTAAATCCATCAAAGACATGAGGTTGTTTGGGCCAAAAGAGATGTTGATAGGATTTACTCGCACGATGGAACTAATGTAGGACTTTATCAAAACTCACAAGTGAATGGGAGAAGTTATTGGAATAGGTTCATATATGAGTAAAAAATCTTACATCACTAAAAAATGTGAGTGAGAAGTCCTATATATACATGCAGGACTCAAGAACTCAATAGTTTAAACTTTTTGGCTTAAGTGGTACCCCTAAGTGTGGAATATCTCCCCAACATTCTAGATCTTGCATTTTTTTTTATAGAATTAGTCATATTTGATCCACTGATTTGGTGTGTTGAACATCGCCCTTCATTTTTCTACTTAATTGGGTTGACCAAAGGATTTACTTGATATTTAGCGAGAAAAAGGTTGAAGCTTTATCTGAAACTCATGATCTCTGTATTGAAGGTGGACTGCATTTAAATGTTAAAATAGATTTCTGCTATTTTATGAGTCATTCCTTTTGTTATGGTTGCAACTCCACCACCCATTTGTTATTGGTTTTCTGCATTGTTTAATCCAATTTATCGACTCCACAATGTCATTGTAGGTTTTTGCAAAAGTTGCTCTAGAGAAGAAAGAACTAATCATGACCACTTTCAAGACAAGGGGAAGGATGACTTTAATGTGTGGTAATGGGACCAATGATGTTGGAGCTCTTAAGTAGGTAATATTTTGTTTAAGGATTTTTAGTTCGTTATTCACATTTTGGCATCTCATTTTAGTTATATGTTTCAAGCTTATCTATCTGTTTATTGTGCAGCCATTATGCTTAAGTCTCTTTAGGTTTTTACACTTATTTTGGCTTCCCAATTTGGCATTATGTTTCAAGGCTATATATTATTTCTATTTGTATATTTTGTTGCCATTACTTTTCAATCTATGATTAACCCTAGAATGAAGAAGAAAACAAATCTCATAAAGAGATCAACTCAACTCACCCAAGCATCGAGTTGTCCATAAGATTTGTGACGAGTTGTGTTGGGCAATTTTTTTATGATTATCTGTTCAAATACATTCTAGCATTACATTTCGTTAGTCATAATTATTTTGGCTACAAGATGGATATGTATCATTTTTTATGTTATTCTATTGAAATTGAAATGGTTAAAGGGTAAAAAATGCCTTTAAATTATAATTTAATAATCATTTAAGTTTTTAACATTTTGTTGTAATTAATCAAGCCTTTAATTTTCTTTTTTATTCAATTGGACCCTTAAATAGACAAAATCTAGTCATGTGGTAAAATTTAATCAATCAATCTCCTAATTACAGTTAATTGAGAAGGATTTTAGAGAGAGGGGAGGAGAGAAAACATAGAAGAAAAAGGAAAAAAAAGAAGAAAATTTTATTTTATTTAATTTCACATATATTAATTGTGTTATGTATAAACTTTAATCTATTTTATTGATATGGTATGAAATTTTATCTTAGTTGGTATTTTTTCATCTAAATAAGGGTATACTTGGATGTAAATAAATATTGGAGGGATTGATTGATTGTAATTAAAGAAAATAAAAGTTTAGATAATATTTTAATAATAATTCACGGATTTTTTATACCCTTTAGCCAATTGAAATCCAAGTTCCAAAATATTTTCCTTCTGTTTATGGGCATTGTCTAGATGCACAACTACAATGTTTTGTTTACCATCCTCTAGTTACCTTATAGAAGACTTCCTGAATAGAATACTAGGGTTTTTTTTTTCTCTCCCAAAGGCAGCTTTAGTTTGTTGAATTACCATTTTATATCTATCATTTCTATTATGAATTGTCTTCTACTATCTGTTTTCTAATTTGTACACGAATATGGATAAATTTTTTGTAGTACATATATTAAGAATTGTTTTCTGTTTGTTTTGTTCTTTTTACACAAATATGGATTAATTTTGTGTACATATTTTAACTAAATCTAATAACAAATTTATTAAATAGGAGAAGTAACATCAATCCCATGTTGTGTGATAGAATTTTTTTGTGCATACAATAGTTAATATGAGTTGCTTTTTATAATATTTTTGTCAATTACATGTTAATTAGTTTTAAGTTGGTTTAATATCAAAGAAGAGAAATTAATTGTTCCCAGAATCTAAGTAGCAGAAAAGCATGGACATGTAGCACCCTACGTTTTTAGGCCCATGTAGGTGTTGCCCTATTGAATGCAGTGCCATCAACTAAAAGTGAAAGCTCTTCACGAGGAACATCTAAAGATGAAAGCACAAAGTCATTGAAGTCGAAGAAATCTATGCCCAATGTGGAAGCAGCTGCCAAAGCTGTGAGTAACCGGCTTAATGCAGAAGCCTCTTGAAAAGGAAAAGTTGCCATAAGATCAGAATCTAGCAACCACGCAACCAGTAACCGGCATCATAATGCTGCAGAGATGCATCGGCGGAAGCTGAAGAAGCTGATGGATGAGATGAATGAGGATAGTGATGGTCGCTCAGCACCTATTGTCAAACTGGGGGATGCTTCGATGGCATCACAATTTACAGCAAAGAATGCATCCGTTGCCGCAACCATTGACAAAATTCGTCAAGGAGGCAGCACCCTTGTGACTACCCTTCAAATGTTCAAGATACTTGGCCTTAACTACCTTGCCACGGCTAATGTTTTAAGTGTGATGTATCTAGATGGCGTCAAGCTGGGTGATGTCCAGGCTATGATCAGTGGTTTATTTACAGCTGCCTTTTTCCCGTTTATCTCACATGCTCGCCCACTGCCCAACCTTTCAGCTGCACGGCGGAAGCCCAATATTTTCTGCTTCTATGTCTCCCTTTCTCTCATGGGACAGTTTGCAATCCACCTGTTTTTCTTGATTTCTTCTGTGAAAGAGGCAAAGAAACACATGCCTGAGGAGTGCGTTGAACCAGACTCTGAGTTTCACCCTAATCTAGCGAACACAGTTTCATATATGGTGAGCAAGCATGATGCTTCAGGTGGCTATATTTGCAGTGAACTACATGGGACATCCTTTCAACCAGGGCATCCCCGAAAACAAACCATTCTCGTACGCGCTTGTAGCTGCCGCTGGTTTCTTTGTGGTTATAACTTCTGATCTACTTAGGGACTTGAATGATTGGTTGAAGTTAGTTCCTTTGCCTGTTGGATTGAGGGATAAGATATTGCTGTGGACTCTACTAATGTTTCTGGGCTGCTATACGTGGGAGAGATTGCTAAGATAGGCTTTCCCTGATAAAATCCCAGCTTAGAGGAAGCGCCAACGTGTGGCAGCGGCTAATTTAGAGAAGAAGCTAGTCTAAATGAATAGAGAATAGGCATGAAGAATTTGCACCCTAATAATGGGTATTTTTGAAAAACACCTCCTGCTGTAGTGCTTTTATAGAAACAGAGGTAGAAAGGTAAAATGATTATTTTCGCCAATTAGCTCCAGATATGCAACTGTTGTCTGGTTAATCACACAGCTTCATTCCTTCGAACGGGAATCTCTGTCTATTTGCCAGAGTGAGAAGGTGATTGTTTTGGAAGCAGAAACTGTGATTTTTGTTTTAGATCAATCGACTTGACAGAACAGTAATTGTATGTGCGTTTAGAAACCAGGTATTGATTAGAATGACCAAATTCTAACAAGTCGATACAGAAATTGATATCGAGTTCTTAGGATTATGATTCATTCCTCCTACTGTCATGTGTGCTTGTCCACTGCAGCCTGCAGGCAGGCATATATGGCTACTTATTTGGTGATTGTTGTCTTAGGAGAAGGTTATCATAATCATACGTGAAGAAAGAAGAAAAAGGTATTATTCTTTTGAATGATGTTAATTCATAGTTAACCTTTTAGTGAATATGTGATTATGTTACAAGTTTGCACCCTTATTCTGAAAGACTTTGTTGTGGTCCAATCGCACTGTACCTTTTATCCCTCATGCCCGTTTTGCTCTCATTCATATACCAACTTTTTCCTTGATTGCATAGTAAACATATCATAACCCTTTAATTTTTTATTATTCTGCAATCACTTTTATTTTTGTGTGCACACAAATTTTACTTTTTCAAAAAATAGTATTAGCTCAAATATGTGACAAATAAAAATAAATAATAATATAATAATCATTTAAACCCTTTATCTTATTACATACTTAACTAACTAAAGAGTATTCGAACCCATAACTTTGAAGTACAACTGATCCAAGAGATAATCAACTATTCAATGATTTTATTATTAATAATAGCTTTACAACAATTTTTTGATTAGTAGTATTATTTATGGGAGTGCTCAAATACTTTTTTTCATTTTTTTATAGAGGGTTGTTATCAAGATGGTTTTCTTTTTTTTTTTTTAATTTTTGACTTAATTCTCTTTGACTATTGGAAGGAGAAGAGATAGTTTCTCTCAATTAGTTGACTATATTTAATACAAAATACCGTATGGCAGGAAAGACAATCAGTTTCAGGTTAAGAGACTCACATTCCAATCTCAATTATAATCTAAAATCAAAAGAAGAAAAAAAAAAGACTGTATTCAGCATATACTTTTATGACTTCGGCAGATTTGTGCCAGTTTGTTACCTCTGAATCTAACTAGAACTGCCAAAGATAAGTTATTGGTAGATATGAAATTTCCATTTTCTTGTGGGTTCTATGAAATTTATTTCATTTAAGAATAAAATTGGAAAAATGAAATTTAGATGTGGTAATTGAGGAATGCATCCGTGGTAACTCAAAAAATTATTTGTGATAGGAATTGACGTTAAAGAATAGCTTAGATAATAAACTTATGATTGATGCATTCTCATGTGCCAAGATTTATATGAAGGAGTCTATGATGCTTCATTAAATGTTTAGTTAAAATACAGTGCTGTAGGAAATCCTGAGGCATTCAGGAGGTGTGTGTGCATGTGATAGAAATAAGAAGATTGAAAGAGATCATATTATGTCAGCTTAATCATTTTTGTTTTTTATCTGTTGAAAGAAAATTGATATGTGTGTGTGTGTATATATATATATATATATGTATAATTGATTCTTTCTAATGTCAACTTTTTTAATATAATAAAAAATCATTTTATTTTTCAAAAATGTCATCACAAAACCATTGCTATGAGCTCTGCTCCTAGGTGTCTGTCTTTGGCAAATCAGCAGCCACTTTTCAACATCTTATTCACTTTGAGGAAGGCCTGGATGTGATCGTCTTATTTTTTGCACTTTGTTAATCACATAAAGCTTGTAAGTTATAAATTAGTTCTTTGAATTTTAAACATTTAGTCTTCTTTGGGCAAAAACTTTAATTGCTTTTTCATGTTTCTCTTTTGAAATAGATACTTAGAAACAATGATGCAATATCTATTTAGGTCTAGCGGATCACTGAATCCTCCTCACTCTAATGAAGATTGGAGAGATAGTGTGGTTGAGAGCCTCAATTACATTGCTGATGTGCTACCCAAATGCAATCACGACGCAGTTGCTAGCAACAAGGACTTGAATTCCATCACATGCCAAAAGGAGCTTAGATTCTAAATCTCTGTTTTTAGATGCTAAAAAGTAATAAACTTTTAGGTTTGATTATTCTAATTTATAAAGGTGAAGGGGGCCAAAGACTTAGTATCATTATGTAAGTTGGCAACCCCTTACTTCGCTGTATGCAATTCATTTCATTGTTCAGATCATGGCCTATCTTTCTTAGTTACTCGACTTGTACCTTAAAAATATCATATATGCACCACTGCTGACCCTTTGTGCCTTTCTAAATTTGTGTTAGTTTTATGTGTCTCATTTTATATCTTCATATCAGAAAATCTAATACATTCAACTTCGTACACAAAATTTAGGGCCCTGTGTTTTATTTCCAATTACATGAAATTTTCACAAGTGCAAATTCCACTTTTAAAGGTCCAAAAGTTCTTTCACAAAAAAGTCCATCCTTTTTCAGTTTATTGTTTTTGTAACGAAAAGTATACGGTTTTGTCACCTTTCCAATGGTTTCTCCAATAAGCAGGATTCATTGGCCCAAGCACTTATTTATTGAACAAAAATTGATCCAATTCAAAGTTGTTGACAAGATGGATGTAGACACTTAATTTTATTTGAATTTTTTGGATTAAGCCTCAATTTTACCGATCAACCTTAAATCCGTTGGGTTTTTGCCAAATTCGATTATGTGTGCTAAAATTTGATCTGAAATTATATGGGCTAGGCCTAATTTTTGATTAATAGACTTGTGGGTTTGAATTTTGTATCAATTGAACTGGGGCCCAACAAAATCTTTTGGGCCAAAAATCAAAGCCCAAACTATAGCCCATGTAAGGGGCCCATATTTTTCATATTATGTACTTATTTAGCTTTTGTTTTAATTTTGTTGTTTAATTCATTAAAATAAAAAAAGAAGTTAAAATTAAATTAATTAATTAAAAAAAAAGATAGCCCGGACTGTGGGTGTTGTGTGGGTGTCGGGCATAGCACCTGTTTTTTCTGACACCTATGAGTCCCATCCCTAGCAGCCACCTTACACTCTACCTACACTCCATTTGCCTTTCGGCCATGGCAAATAAGGCCAACCTTTTAAGAAAATTGGCTTAAGCTAAAATGAAAAAAAAAAAAAAAAGAGATATTATCACCCTTGCAACATGGAAGCCAATAGTGACTCTTTAAAAACTTTTCAGAATCCTAAAAATCATGGGATTTCATCTTCTTTCAGCTCTATAAATTTAGATCTCAAACTCAAAAAAAAAAAAAAAAAGAGAGTAGAATCTTTGCAAAAAAAAAGCCCAACAAGAAACACAAAAAAAAAAACTTTTCCTAACCTATCCAAAAAAAAACACAAACACAAAAAAAGAGAGGCCAAAACAACAAGCCACACATCCCCTAAAGCAAGGATCCAACGCCAGAAACAACCCACAAAAAAAAAAAAAACCAAAAAACTAAACAAGAAAAAAAAAAGCTTTTGGCCAAAGTCTTAGAATACATATTTGGGTTTTTGGAGAGAAGTTTTCAAAAAATAGAGCTCAAAACAGGAACCAAAAGGTTGAAGGATATCTTTTGGTAGTTTTTGGAAGTTTTCTAATAATCGACAAGGCGCCCAATGATCGACAACGACAATAGTAAGCTGCAGTACATAGCAGTAACCTATTGTTTTATGAGAAAAGGTTGAGGAATATTTTTGGGCTCTGAAGTTTTTTTTTTTTTTTGTAGAAGGATAGTTGAAATGGATTTTTTTTAAAAAATGAGGTTTTTATAGTTAAAAAAAAAAAGAATCAAAACGATACCATTTTAGAAGGGGTGGATTTATGTTAACTTGAAATCTAACCCGAAACTTTCGTGATCTGACCCGAAAGAGCCTCAGCTAATCAGATTTGACAATTTTGATTGAATCGATATCGAATCTGATCTAAACTAACTTGAACTATAGAAAATCGCTCACGAACCTCTCCAAGCCATTGACCAGACCGTTGGCCGATCAGTTTCAGTTTTTTTTTTTTGTATTTTTTATCTTTCTATTATTAATTGTTTTTTAGTATTTATTTATGTTCCAAAATATTTTTTATATAAAAATAGAGATAAATTTTAGATAATTTTAAATCCCATTAAAAATTTATAATAAAAATTTTCTTTAAAAATAAAATAAATAATAACAAATAAATAATAATAAAAATATAGGAAAGAAAATTTTTATTCGTTGATGAAATTCTAAGGAAATCAGCGTAGTGATTCCAATGAAATCTTTATGTGATAATTTTTTTTAAATACTACCAATATATTTGAGCATTTATAAAAATTTTTTAATAAAATAAAATTCCCTTTTTTTTCAACAAAAAATATAATAATAAATAGTAAATAATAAGAATACAAAAAATTAATAAACAAATTTTTCTTAAAAAATGTATTTGTTCTTAAAATACACAAAAAAAGGAGATTACTACTAAATAAAGAGAAAAAATAAAAAGAAAGTTTTATTCGATAATGAGATTCTAAGGTAATCCGAGTAGTGATACTTAAGAAATCTCTCGTTGAGAAGTTTTTTTTAAAAAATACTATTAGTGTATTGAAATATTTATAAAAAAATTTTCAATACAATAAAAAATTTTCTTTTCTTCTAAAAAAATTCTAAAAAATATAATAAAAATCAATAAATATTTTTTAAAAATAAAAA